TCAACTAAAGTTCCCCCCAATTTTCGATGGGGTGATGGGGGTAGGTTTTCTTTTTTTAATATTGAAGTGATGGGGGTAGGTTTACTTTTTCTTATATTTATTATGTATATGTGTATATAATTTATATGTTTTGATAGTACTTTGATGTATACGTATATGTTCCTTTTCTAGTAGTGCGATATGTAAATATTATTTCTTTACCTTTATTCTTTATCTTATCTTATCTATTTATTTATTTATTTAATTATTTATTTAGTTTTCTTTCTTTTTTTATTTCCTTTATCTTTGATTTATGCACTCATATTTATTTGTTTATTTATGTATATATTGTCTTTGCTTTTTTTTATCTTGTTTTATTCTTTTTCCCCTTTATTTTATTTTCTTTATATTATTTGTTTTCTTCACTCTAACGCATTCACTTTTAAAGGGTACAACTTTCAAATCAACTTACGGTAAGAAATTCGGATCGATATTTTACCTTTCAATTTAAAATTATAATTTTCTTAATTAAAGACAACTGGAAATTATATAGTACCGAAAGGGCGGTTCAAGGGTGCTAATCCTTCCTTGACCATAACCGACTCCCGAACCCGACACATTTCTGGTAAAAATGCAGATCAGGTAAAAAATAGGGTATCCGATCAACCCATTTATTTTTAAATAAATGATCAGTGGCGACTCCAATCCATTTTCCTAAGTCGAAGCCCAATTACGGGGCCCAATCGAAAGATGGTTGCGACATGCGGCATTCTGATTTCCGTCATCTTGACCAATGCCTTGGTTTCCAATTTGATACATATTTCTTTGAGAACGTCTTCTTCTTCTAAAGAGTCTTTCAATCTCAAGTTCTATTGGTTCCAAAGGCTCTTCAGAATTTCTTCTAGGCATACACTAAATAAACCTGAAAAATAAAACAAAAATATCAAGTAAAAAATAAAAATGCAAAACAAAATAAAATGCTATGGCAAAACTGAATAACTTCAGGCTGCCAATCCCCGGCAACGGCGCCAAAAACTTGTTCGCGTGTTGTGAGTACTATAAAATATACGCAAATAATGTGCAAGTATACACAATCGCTCAAGTAATATAATGATGAGTGAGTATCGTCTCCACAGGGATTGGGTGAAATCACAAAAGTCTAACCAAAGCAATGCAATATTCTATCTAAGTATAGTTAGTCTTGATATATACAAATGTCACGGCAATGGATATGTGTATGCTGGTGGATGCGGATTGATGGTGTGATGGTGTAGCAAATGGAAATGCAGTGGCAATGATGGATGTTTAATATTGAGTATGGTGAAATGTCAAGGTAATGAGAAATGGTAAAAACAATAAATAAAAAGATAAATAAAATAAGAAGGAAATAATCCTCACGTGACAAGCTTCCAATGAAATGAATGGTAAGGATTGGTCTAAGGTTGCTAAACTTATTTCTCAAGTATATTTAAGCTATCTTGTCTTTACTTACTCGACAGGGCTTTCCTAAGGTGTTCAAAAGAACATAACAGAATAGGATGCCAAGGCATCTGCTCTCACTCAACGATGTTGGACAGCCTACCCTATTGATAAAGACACCCTTTTTAGTCGTTGAAATCCTATCCTAGTCTCTTCCGAGATCTAAGGGATTAAGTTATAATATTCCTAGGCCGGTTCAAAGCCCCTTGAAAATACCATAACCCATTGCTTATGAGGATCTTATCTTGCGTTTCTTCCGAATACTTACAAGTATTTTTAGTTTAGGATTCTTCCGAATACCTATCCTTCATCTAAGAGATGGACATTTCCATGCCTCTTACAAGCCTAGATGGTGAAGCATTCATAAGCAAAGCAAATAAAAGAACCAAAATAAACTTAAATATACCATTAAAAATAAAGTTTAAACATCCATTCAACCAACCACCACCAAATAAGTTAGTTCATGGTGGGGTTCGAAATATCCAAACACAAAGTCATGAAAATTCGTTCCAACAACCCACAAAATAATATAAAAATAGCAGCAAAAAGGGAAGTGAGAAGAAGCCTTCGACGCGCCACCGGAGGTCTCCTCTCGGCCACTACGAACCACCTAGCTCGCTAGCTCCTTTCGGCGCCTAGCTTGCCACTCCTTGGAGCTTTATCAATGGAGGAATATTCCAAGAAAAAAAGAAAAGAAAAAGAGAAAATAAAAATCTAAATTTTTCTGCTCTATGCGTGTGCTCACTCGTCCTCCCATCTCTCTCTCCCATGAGGTGTCATATATAATAAATAAAATATCTAGGGGTAATGATGAGTTTGTTGGGTGCAAAATACCCCTCATACCCCTAGAATCACATTTTGTGCATGAATCTTATCCTCCAAGTGGCAGTGGTCCATTGGTAGCTCTGGCAGGCAGTTACAGCAGTCCTCCACGTGCAGGGACAGCTGTCCAGTGCCAGCTGTCCTGATGCAGAAATATCTTTTTGTCTTTTTCTGCGCCATAAATGCCAAGGCATTTCAATCTGCTCTAGCAACGTGTGATGCCGCGACATTACTTCCCAAAGAATCCTTTTTCTTGCTATTCCCTGCACACCATAGACAAACTGCACCTTTCCCTCAAACAACATCATTAAGAAATAAAATAGCACAACCACCACAAATGCAACTATATGCAACTACATGATCCTAAAATGACTAAAATGAGCTTTTAAACAAACAATAACTTATAAAAGGGTGGTCTTGAAGATCCAATTCTTGAGTTACTTCCTGAAAATCTTTCATTTCAGATGTGGGAGAAGGGTAAAAAAGCTCATAATCTGAGCTTTCATTAGGATGGAGAGTGATATTGAAGTCTCCTTCCAAGATCCAGGGGAGGTGAACTATCTTACTATCCAATTCGTGCAACTGTTGCCAAAGCTGTCTTCTGTTGATGCCATCGTTGCTCCCATAAACTGCTGAGATGACAAAAGGATTTCCCAGGAAACTTCCTTTAACAGATAAGATTTGATCAGAAACAGAAATAGTAGTTAAATCCAGATTTTTCTTCCAAAGAACCCATATTCTTCCATTGGCAGCGAATTCGTAATTAACACTGACATTCCAGTTGGAAAGTTTATTGTCAATGATGTCCCTGTATTTTTCATGTTTGACTCTAGTCTCTAATAAGCATAAAATGTCAACGTTATTTTGAGCGGCTCTTAAAAGAACTTTATTTTGTTTCAGAGGATTGTTAAATCCTCTAATGTTCCAGAAACATAAGATCATTGAGGAGGGATTACCGAGGATGAACCTTCACCCCCTACTGTAGAACTCTTGAGGTTATCAAGCTTACTCTTCTTTTTTTATTTGAGTTCTTTGACTATTTCACTAACACCCAATGAAGCCGTACGGATCTTCCTTTGATGACCTTCAATGATAGAGGAATTCTCATCAACAGAATTAAGTGCCTCGAACCTGTTTTTTGACCCAACTAAAGAGGCCTTGTCTTTTGTAGGCCTACCTCTTCCTTGTCGAGGAACTGATGAAAGGTTTGCTGGGTTAACTTCTTCGATTATAACAGAATTATCTGTTGGTTTAGACAGGATATCAACTTCTGGGTCTTTAGGTTCATTGATATCTTTAGAAAAAGGTTATGGGATTTCTTCATTAACTTGTGGAGCCTCAATTTGTGTTGGTTCAGAACTGGAATTGTCCTGCACAGGTTCTATAACTTCAACATTGGCATTTGATTTAGAGACGTCCTTTTCACCCAAACTTGGGTTGAAGTTGGATTGTGGTTGTGATTCGCCAAGCATCCCTTATATGTGTGGTCGAAGACCTTGCATTTCTTACAACTGTGCGACATCTATGGTATCTCGACAAAAATAGTAGTAGAATGGCCATCTTGAAAGATAACTTCAATTTGCTTTGGAATTTCATCATTAACGCTGATTTCAACACATAACTTAGTGAATTCAAGTCTGGTTTTGGAAGCGGTGACTGAATCCATAGAAATTGGAACACCAATTCCACTTGCTATATAGCTCAATCCTTATTGAGAAAAGAGTTCTAACGGGACATTATAGAGATGAACCCACAAAGGAAATTTTGAAAAATCAAAATGTAATCGTTTTAAATTGGGTTCCCATTTTCTTAGGATAATTGGCTTGTTCAATATGTGCCAGGGTTCGTTTTCAAGGACCCAATCCCTAGCAGATTCTGATGTAAAAGAGAAAATGAAAAGGTTTGAACCAGCTTGACTAACCTGTAAGCGAGAACCTTGTAGACCCTTCCTCAATTGGTTTTCGATGATTCGTTGCACTGTTTGGAAATTTGGAGGCCGACCCAGGAATTGACCCACCAGTGAAAGTCTCCATTCTGAAATGACAGCTTCAAGATCTCTGATGGTGGGGAGATCGTTGGGGTTCCGTTTTTTATGGTCGGGGATGATAGGTTAGGGTTTGGCAATTGAAACCCCCGAACAAATTTCTCCAATCCATCAAGCAGGGAGGCACGATAGCATGGAGAAAACAATTGCATAGTGACAGAAAGATTATCTTGATGAAAAGGAACAGGTGCACGGAGAACCACCGGAGACACGACGGACGGAAATCTCAAGATCCGTTATACCTGCTAACGTGCGCCCAGAGAGAACCAGTATCGTGCGTCAGAGATAAAACACATCTATTATAAGTATAATATTTATTGATTACTACCCTCTTTCAGTCATGCTCTTCTATTTATAAATTTTCCTCCTTTCTTTTAACAAACAGTTTACCTTTCTTTTTACCCATACTGATACTTATTAGTCTTCTTAAAAAATACATTACCCACTTAAATGATTTTTTACATTTAATTTTAATTTCCCCATATATGATGTGACATTTAATAATTATAAATAACAAAGGAACAAAATATTTTTAGAAATATAATATCACTTGATTTTAAAATATTATTTTATTATTTCATCCCAAATAAATTAAACTTGTTTTAAAGTTTATCCCAAAAAAAACATCCTAAAAAATTGTCCCAAAAACAAAGTTATATTATGGCGAAGTGTTTTTCCTAAAAAAATTGCAGTCACTCTCGTCTCTCTTCACACATCCCCGCCGCCAAGCAAGCCTCTCACCACCGTTCTCTCCCAGCTTCGCAATCCTTCTCCAGTTCCTGACCCAATCCCTCTCTTGCCCTCAAGTTCCGACGGCCGGCAAATTAAATAAGGTAACTTTTTCAAACCCTGAACTTGACTCGAAGATTTCTATTTTGAGTTATAGCTCGGTTTGTGTTATCTGCTCTCTACTTTGCCTCTGCTTCTGCTTTGCTTCCTATATTTCGTTTTCTGTTTCTGATCGGCTGCTATTGATGTGAAATTCGTTGGCGCCGCTACCGCGAAACAGTGGCCGCGACAAAGTTGCTCCACCGTTATTTGCAACACTTTCACTAATATGATTGAAATAGAATCTCTTGCTGCGAGAGGTATATGAAAAACATATTTATATGTGGATAAGAAAATTTTCAAATACATCGAGCTTGAAATCTTGTAATCGACTTGAATTTTATTTGATAAACTAGTCTAATCAAGTAAGTTCTAGTCGATGGATTATCTCTGAGTTCAACTCTAATAGGAAAATAAAACTTCGTTGAGCTTGAGCTGAATTTTAAGTGGCAAGTTTGGATTTTAGTTTGAGCGAGCTTTACAATTTTTAGGCTCAGCTCTAGAAATAGCCGCCTGCGGAATAGCGGCCCCTATATTGCCGTCTCCGAAACCACTATTGCAGAAAATAGCGGTGTAAAGCGGAATCACACCAATCACTGCAATAGTGGGCCGCTATTTAACGCCGCTGTTCATCTATCGTTACGCTATTTATCTTTTTTAAAAAATCAGCTTCTTTTGTAAAATAAAAAATCAACTCCTTTAATAAAAATTCGCGACCGTGATACCCTCGATGAATGTAATAGCATCTGTCATATTCGCAACCCGTCCTAACAAATTACATGATTGTTGGCTCAACATTTTTTTTTATACTTGAGATTGTCAGGGTTTGGTCCTTGGCAATCGAAGCTTATGTGTTAAGCAATCTACCAACAGACAACAAACTTGTTTTTTTCTATTTGAGACTTCTTGGTGTTTGATGCTTGGCCGTTAGAAGTATGAGTCAAACATTCTACCAACAGACTGTATGATTGCTAGCTCAACTGGCTATCGAGCTCAACTTGATTGTTGACTTATTGAAGCTAAATATATTGTGTTTTTAGCTTTTTGGCCTTCGGGCCAAGTAATATTTTGTGAGTATCGAGTAGTCTTGACTTCTTTGTTCCCTTGACCATTGATATAGCTCCGGGATAGCTCTAACAAGTAATTGCATCAGTTAAATATAAACATGCAAAGTAAAACATATACAGTTGTGATTTGAATGACTTGGTTAATGTTCATGATCAGTTATTTGTTCCGACAGAAAACATCTTTTGTGTGGATAGCAAGATATAAGTTGCATTTCTGTTAGCTGTGAGAATTGTTTTTCCTCTGCTAAATAGTGATACCTTATTCTTTTGCTGCAGGCGAGCTCTTATCACATATCATTGAAAGTATTTAAAACGATAGGCACCTTTTATTTAATTGGTTGAAGCAGATAATTTTTTCTATCCATATTTTCCGTGAATCATTGTGTTCTGTGGTGCAAAACAATGAAGTTGGTTGGACTTATAAAAGCAATTTGTGTCCACCCCTCCGTTCGTGAAATAATGGGGCCTTTGCAGATCCGGACATTTCAGCATGATTTTGTTCCAAGAGACCCCAAGGCTAAGCCTAAAAAGTACAAATATCCACAATTTTATGATCCATATGGCCCAAGACCTCCACCCTCTGGTAAGATTGTTGAACTGGCAGAGCGAATTGCAGCCTTACCACCAGAAGAGCGCAGACAAATCGGCCCTACTCTTACTGAGAGGCTAAGGCACCCCAAAATGCAAACCATTGCAGATGAAGGAATGGAGTTGGGTTCCCAGGGTAGAGTGGGTACGGGTGCAGTAGCTGCAAAGGTAGAGGAGAAGAAAGAGAAAACGGCATTTGATGTGAAGTTGGAGAAGTTTGATGCTGCTGCAAAAATCAAGGTTATCAAGGAAGTGAGGGCTTTTACTAATCTGGGTTTGAAAGAGGCCAAGGACCTTGTTGAGAAGGCACCCGTTATACTCAAGCAGGGGGTCACCAAGGAGGAAGCAAATGATATAATGGACAAGATTAAGGCAGCTGGAGGAGTTGCTGTCATGGAGTGAGCGAACAGCTGCTTTATTTTTCCTTTCCTTTCCTAACTTTTTCACCTGCGTAGCAGGCCGTTATTGGATAATGTTGGGAAAACACTTTTACATGATATGAGGTGGAAATGGTCTTTCAATCATTATTTTTGAATTCACTTTCAATTGGCAATCAAAGATAAGCTGTTGCATTTTACAGTAGGCGAAAAAAAATCACACCATGTAATCTAAATAATGAATAATCTTGGAGTAAGCCGTTGCATGAAAAGACTTGAAGAATATTCAGTAACACCTACAAGCATGTTTTATCCTGATTATATTACCACTGCTGAAGATGCTGGTTGTTGATTGCTAAGCACCGTCTGCATTGTCCTATTCAACCAAATTGTAGACTTAAAACTGCTAATGAATGGTCTTTGAAATTCCCGTTTCTCCATTTCCCTTCCAGGAGTTTTTTTTTTTTGTCTTGCAACAACTCTTAAGTTTCTAATGTGGAAAGATCAACTGGCATGAGCAGGTTCGTATTGGCAAACGCAATCATATATCTTTCCTTGAATCAGTTTTGCTGCCAACCTCTGATTCTTCACCATTGCAAGCTGCAAACAAGGTATTTGAGTCAAAATTAAGAGTCAAGCAAACCTCTTTAAGTCGTATATTTGTTAACTTGAAAGAGATACAATATCAGATGACCATACCTCAAGGGCTTCACATTTAAACCAAGCATTGAAATTGGTGTGAAGAGCTCTACCCATCCCTTCTAAGATAACCTGCATGGAACGAAATGTGTGCAATTCATAATTGCTGGAGATTTTCCACGGAAATTGCTCTCAACCTAGCATTGGGGGCAGCTTACTATCCTACCTCTCCCTTACCCCATTACATATGGGAATAGGGTCAGCTATTTTTTTTTCTTTCGCTACTGTCGTAACCGTTTTTCGTCCAGACACGATTTTTATAGTTGGCGGGAAAAATAATGTGAATAATAAATAATTTGGGAGTCGCCATCGGCCTTTTGGGTCAGGTAGGTCGAATACCTAAAAATTATCTTTTAAAAGAGTTTTTAAGAAAACATCACTTAAAAGATAAACTGATATGCGTTTATAACCAAAAATTCGTTCTTTTTATTAATAAAAAGGGATTCGTGGTCGGTTACGTTTAGGGAATGATTAGCACCCCTACAACGCCCAAAATTGGTACTTTTTAATTATAAATTGTCTCTAATAATAGAATTTTAAAAATTCAAATATATTTAATTTATAATTATGTTATTTCAAATTTTATTACTATAATTTTTAAGAAAATATATTAATTTAAATATATTTATAAAAATATTTATTTATTTAGAAATATCAGAAAAGGACTTCTAGGTGCCTTAAGACAACTCTTTTTCTTCGATATTAATAAATAAATGACTAAAACATTTTCTTAAGATAATAAAAATTTATTTTAATATAGTAAGATATTTATTTATTCAAAAATATCAGAAAAGGGCTTCTAGGTACCTTAAGACAGCTATTTTCTTTGATAAAAATAAATATTAAAATTTTAATAATTTAAATAAAACTAAATTATAATTTTTATAATGTTTAATTATTTAAAATACCAGAATAGGACATCCAGTTGTTTTAAAACTGCCATTTTCTTTGATATTGAAAATAAATATACAATATTATTTAAAAAATATATATATTTAATATATATATATATATATATATATATATGTGACTAATATGAAAATAATAATAATATAAAATTAATAACAAATTAATATTATAAATAAATAATATTTAAAATAAATTTAAAAGTAATAATATTAAATTGCAAAATATATAAAAACAATCAGGATCAAAATGAAAAGAAACAAAATATTGGTGACTAAAAAAGTAAAATATCAAAATTAAAGGGCATAATTTGAATTAACAAAAAACTTAATGCTAATAATGTAATTTAACCTTATTTAATTAATTCGGGTTAAAAAATAAATTATAAAAATTATGAAGGACTAAATAAGGCATTTAACCTAAATATATGTATAATACAGGTAAGGACTAAATTAAAATAAAATAAAATTATAAGACTAAACTAAAAATAATCAAAAATCAATTTCAGTGACTAAATTGTAATGATTACAAACTTGGAGCACTGCGGACAGGGTTTACCCTCTTCTCAAAACGCACCGTTTCATCATGAAACGACGCCGTTTTGTATCGGGTATAAAATACCCCAAACGGCTGGCCCTTCGGGCCAGCTCTCATTTTTTCTCATTTCTCTTCTCTCTCTAGCTGAGAGAGAAGAGAATTCTCTCCCTTCTCTCTATTATTTCCCTCACCGGAGGGAACACGGTCTCCGACCGGCAGCCGCACTCCGGCGCCGAACACCGTCGCCGACCACCGTCAACGGTGGCCGAATTTTTTTTAAAATACCCTAGGATATAAATCTCACCGTTCTAAGGCCGAATCCGGCATCTATTTTCCCCAAAAGTCCCTGGAATTTCCTAGATCTATGAAAATACCTTCGGTATTTTCGGTACTTCGGCGATGTTTGGTGTTCTCCGGTGGTTCTGCTTCCTCGGTAAGGGTTTCTCCTCTCTTCTCTCTCGATTTTTTTTCTGGTTGCTTCGTTATTGTTGACTGGGATGTTTGGTATATTTTTTTGCTCTTGTTTCTGTTTTTCTCCGGTTCTTCCTTCCTTTTCATTTTTGCAGGTACGATGGCTTTATAGCCATCTCGGTCGCTTGCTCGGACCGGTTAAAGGAATGGAGTTCGGTGAGTCGCCGAGCTATGTGGTGACTCACCATAGAGCTCGACATGTGGAGGGGCAGTTGGCTTCTAGAGGCTTCTGGCGAGGCGGCGATTTCGTGGCATGGCACTGGCAACTGGAACGTCTGGAAGCAGCGGCGGCTGAATGATAACCTAGGTTTATGAAACCCTAGGGCTTCACGCTGGTATCCTGTGGACCGTTGGATCTTTCAGATCCAACGGTTGATAGAAACGGCGGCTGGGTGTATGGACGGTTGATAGAAACGGCGGCTGGGTGTATGGGATGTAAACCCTAGAAGGGTTCAGGGTTACTGTTGGGCCATATTGATATGGGTTTTGTAATATTAATAAATAATATATAATAATAATAATAATAATAATAATAATAATAAATTTAAATTTAAAATGAAAAAATTGATGTCTACAGCTGCCCCTCTTTGCTCATCCTTGTGTTAACAAGAATAGAGCAAAGACGAAAAAAACAATAATTTTTTCATTTGGCTTCTATTGAGTAGGATGAAAATGTTTGAAAACATCATGCACTGAAGGGCTTACAGATGACCCGAAGGTTTTTTGAAAACATCAAAAAGCTCCCGAAGGCTTTTTGGAAACATCATGCACCGCAGGACTTACAGATGACCCTAAGGCTTTGAAAACATCAAAAAGCTCCCGAAGGCTTTTTGGAAACATCATGCACTACAGGACTTACAGATGACCCTAAGGCTTTGAAAACATCAAAAAGCTCCTGAAGGCTTTTTGGAAACATCATGCACTGCAGGACTTACAGATGACCCTAAGGCTTTGAAAACATCAAAAAGCTCCCGAAGGCTTTTTGGAAACATCATGCACTGCAGGACTTACCAATGACCCTAAGGCTTTGAAAACATCAAAAAGCTCCCGAAGGCTTTTTGGAAACATCATGCACTGCAGGACTTACAGATGACCCTAAGGCTTTGAAAACATCAAAAAGCTCCCGAAGGCTTTTTGGAAACATCATGCACTGCAGGACTTACAGATGACCCTAAGGTTTTGTGTTGAGTTAATCGATCGACGGAATCGGCCAAAAGGGGGGTGAATTGGCAATTAAAAATTTCGTGGAAGCTTTTGCAGAAAAATTGAAAGTATTTGCACAGCGATTTACAGTGGTTCGACTTTCTCAAACAAAGTCTACGTCCACTACCTTAGCTATCCACACTAAGGATTTTCCAACAAATTCACTAATTTGTTCTTTCTTTTGAGGCCAAAGAGATAACCTTACAAAATCCCTCAAGAGTATACCCCAACTCTTGAGAACACTCTTTTTCCCAAAGAGAAGATTACAAATTTGCAAACTTACAAGAAAACCTCACAAGGTAAGATGTTTGCACAATTCTAGAACAAGAAAAGAACACTCAAAGATAATTACAAATGAGCACAAATGGTGTTCTTGAAAGCAAAATGAATATTGAAAGGAAAATTGGCTTGATTTGCACAAACTTGGTGTTTGATGCTTTCTCTCTTGTTTCTCTATAATTCTTATTGATCAAGGGCTTCAGAACTTGTTTAAATACACCTTGAATCTCTTCTGAACGTTGGGGATGATTAGTGAAGATCATATAGCCGTTTTAGTATGAAAACAATTAATAAAACAGTTTGGAGCGTGGGGGGAATCGGTACCCCCTATGGGGAATCGGTTCCCTAAGTGTAAAATTCAAATATTTCGACCGTTGAACAGGGGGGAATCGGTACCCACTATGGGGGAATCGGTTCCCTCCGAGTATTCTGGAAATCTCGGAGCCAAACCATTCAGGGGGGAATCGGTACCCCCTTGGGGGGGAATCGGTTCCCTCTTAGCAATCTGGAATTTTTGTCTTTGAAATGGTTCGAAATACTTTGAAAGATTATTTTGAAATTGTTTTAAGATCAAAACTTAATTTTACACTTAAGTAAGGATTAAAAATGATTTTTGAAATATTTTGAGTAATGTTTTGATATTCGAATAATTATATCGAATATACTTAGAAAATCATTTTGGAAAATCTTAAAATTCATTTAACTTAATTTGTTATATCGAAATATCAAAATGTTTTCAACAATCTCCCCCTTTTTGATATAACAAAACATTTTAGTAATTTTAAGATTTTGAAATCAAGTTTTGAAATTACTCCCCCTTACTTTAACATTTCTCCCATTTATCAATTTAAAAACACACTTAAAACACACTTCTCCCCCTTTTTGTTAAATCAAAAAGATTCAAATAAATGTGAAAAATATTAAGCCAATTGATTAGGTATATGTATGCATAAGCTGCTAAGATCACAAGTAAGAGAAACGTTAGCCATTAGTTCCGTAATCAATATTCATAAATAATGTGATATGGCAAAATTAGTCATATTGCTAAT